TATTGCACACATGCGAACAGCTAGGGGAAAGGAGTTCACGCATCACTAGCACCAGCCCCACCACAAGGTCGGCTCCCCCTGTCAGGTTCCAGAAGATGACTTAACTGTATTTGAATAAATGTAGATTATTGTGTTATACTTAATAAAAATAAGACATCTCCTGAAAATAAGCCCTAGTGTGTCTTCTTGAGAAAAAATAAATATAAGACAGTGTCTTATTTTTGGGTAAACACGATAGCTGGGACTACAGGCGCCTACCACAATGCCCAGCTATATTTTTGGTTGTAGTTGCCATTGTAGTTAGGCAGGCCCAGGCTGGAATTGAACTCGCCAACTCTGGTGTATGTGGCTGGCGTCTCAGCTGCTTGAGCCACAGGTGCAGAGCCTAAACAATAGATTTTTTAAAAAATGGTGCCCAATTATAAGGATCAAGAAGCAAACCTTGGGTTATATCAATTCTGACATTTTATGTGACCTCTTGAAGTTTTTGTGTTTGCAATTCAGGACAGAGAAGCAGAGGGCAAACTGTGAGATATTGTTTAATAAGTTTAAATTTTAGTGTCTACATGAAATTTGGTATCTTTGGATAATATCTTTAAAGTTGCGTTTACCTCTATTTAAATTGCTAATTGTTACTAGTTTTTAGAACTAAATAACAAATAGAAATAACTATAATTGAATCTTCCATGTTAGTTCTTAAAAATTAGTGTTGTGCTATTGGGGGATGGTGTTAAAAAATGACCTGCTCCAGGGCAGTGCCTGTGGCTCAGAGGAGTAGGGTGCTTGGCCCCATATACCGGAGGTGGTGGGTTCAAACCCAGCGTCAGCCAAAAATTGAAAAAAAAAAAAAAAAAAAAAAAAGACCTGCTCTGTGTGGAAAATATATTAGGATACCACTGCTTTCCAGAGATTCCAAAACTTGTCCTGCAAGGATTCGGGCCTGAACTCAAGCCCTGGACATTGTTTGGTTCAGTAGAGTTTATTGCATTTTCATATGCCAAGACAATTTGTGTCCTTCCATAATTCCACCTCCACCCTACCCCGTTCTTCCCTGTTCTCCCAGACGACTTTCCACTCTGCATCCCATATAGTTTACCTATCTCATAGCCTCACAAAAAGAATTTTTAAAAATGGAATTCGCTATTTTTTCTTTTAAGCCTGCTACTTGTTTGATCCTATTTCCACTTGCTGATTTCTTTATGGCCCTGACTTAGTTCTTTGATATCTATAAAAGAAGCCTACACCAAGGAAGGGAAGGAGTAGGGGTGGTAGATTTGAAGGAATCTCCCTCCCCAGCCCCCCAGGTTAGAAACTGATCAAAACAATTGCTTAAGAAGTCCACTTATTAAAGGGCTAAAATGTATGAATCATCAACAGGGGATTTATCAGAAGAATTAAAAGAAGACATGTGGGATTGATATCCCAAATAGGAAAGCATTCCTTCCCTGGAAATAATCCAGGGAAAACATAGAATTGGGAATTTTAGTGTTGTGCAAGAAAAAGGGACAATCTTGAGAGAGGCCCAGTGAGTACCTGCAACACAGCAGGACAGTGAGACGTTAACACCATGTGTTTCTGAAAAACTGAGCTCATCACACAAACTTGGTCACTTCAAACATTTCCGTTTCAGCATTAACAAAGGTGGTGCCTTCAAACTGCTTCATATATCTTCATTTTTGTGTTGGATTTGATGCCAAGCCTAGAACAGAGTTTGCAGCAGTGACTGGAAAGTGACCGAGAGACTCACACACACGTGGCACTGCTGCCAACTCAGACAGGAGGTTTCAGCAAAGTACCAAAAGGATTTCTCTCTAGCCAGAGCTATTTTGTTGATGTTCTGGAAAGAGAATCAAATAGCGTAGCCGTGGATGGGGGAGTCGGGAGTCCAGGTTTAAGAACAATCCACGTGATGGAGACCCAGGGGAATTAGCAGAGCCTGTGATCAATATGAGCCTGGCTCTGCACACCTAGGCAGCTGAGAGTGTGAACTGGACCGGAGCTGACAAGGCGAGGTACAGTCCTCTGAGCCCTGCTGGCAGGGTGCCACCCTTTCAGGCACTGACAAAGAGAAGCGGGTGTTTCAGATGAGACTCCCAGGGCAGAGGAATCTGGCAAAAAATTGGAGATTGTTAAACCAGAAAAATAGAAGCCTCAGGGATAACACAAGTGGCTTCTTCATATGTCTAAAGGGCTGATTAGCAGACAAGAGACTGTTAGAGGTTGAATCCCCCCTCACACACACCACCCCCACCCTGATGCAGAGGAAGTGGAGAGAAGCCAGACCCAACAGTTCAGACTGCCCTAGAGTGGGCTGAGCTGCCCTTTGGGGTTGTGTGCTTTCTGGCACTGAGGATGTTTAAGTGGAGATGGGATGACCACCTTCTGGGGACATTAGGTGGGAAATTCCTGCCTTGGGAGCAAGGTAGGATGGAAACCTCCGAGGTTTCCTCCAGTTTTAAAAATCTATGGTTCTAACTCCAAAAGTATTCAAAAGCAATAAGAAAATTAACTTAAAAGTTTAAATCAGGAATGGATCTGTTCTTAGAAAGAACAGAATCTTAAAAAGCTTTGAAAAGTATTAATAAAATATTCTACATAAGAACAAGTGCAAGGTTTTTTTTACACTTATCCTAAGATCTACCCTCTCAGCACATTTTTACACGCACAGTATGGTACTGCTAACCACAGGCACTACCCTGTACAGTAGATCTCGGGACTCATTCATATCGTACAACTGAAACGTTGGGCCCTTTGGTTCATTTATCGGCATTTTCCCTTCTCCCCATAGGCTGGCAACCACCATTCTTCTTCCTGCTTTTCCGAGTTTGACCATTTTGTATTCCTTATGTCGGTGAGACCACGCAGTATTTGTCCTTCTGGGTTTGACTTATTCCCCTTAGCTAATGTCCTCCAGTGCATCCATGTCATCACAAATGGCAGGATTTCCTTCTTTTATAAGGCTGACTAGGGTTCCACTGCATGCATATAGCACATTCTCTTTATCTGTTCACTGTCGATGGACATTGAGTGTGCTTCCCTGTCTTAACCACTGTAAATAACACTGCAGTGAACATGGCAGTGCAGATGTCTCTTCCAGGTTCTGATTTCAAATCCTTTGGAAAACAGCAGGTATTTAAGAGGGTACTATGTAAAGAACTCAGGGGGCAGGAAGTACATGAAGAAGAGGAATGCTGGAAATAGCAGGGCACTGTGTTATAGCAAAGATGTACTGATGCCACGTGGCTGCAAAATAGGGACCTTCAATATGAGCATCATCTGTAAGGGTGAAGAGCCTGGCCCTTTAAGTCCAGCACGTTCCTGCACTGCCACTTCAGAGCTCTGTGTTCTCGGCCTGCTCTGAGCCATAGTTTCCTCATCTGTGGAGAAGGACAGTATCGCTCAGAGTGTCAGGAGGATGGCATGACAGCATGAAGTACATTATAAATATTCAATAAAATGTTTTATGACACATTTTACTATGAAATTTCACCCCCAGAACCAAAACAGAAGTGCATGTGTGTGGCTACATATGCATGCGTGCATGCACACACACAGAGACACACACGCACACACATGCACACACGAGTGAGAGAGAAACAGAATGACAAAATCAAAGTTTTAAAGGAAATTTATGTGTTAGATTACATGATGTAAATAATGATCTCTCCTATGTAACTGTAAGTTGCATTTGCTAATTTTGTATCTAAATTAAATTAGAAATAAATGACTTGCTTCATCACTCCACAGAGACTCAAGAGGAATGGTAGATTTTAACTTTTGAATGGGTAACCAGCTCATCTGCAAGCCCTGAGGCTGGCCCATGTCTGAGACCTTGGTTTGATGAGTGGCCTGGGATAAACTTTTGTCACTCTTGTTTTCTCGTCTGTAAAATGGAACTAGGCTCAGTGTCCCCATCACATTGGTGGACAAGCAAACGGGCCAGGCGTGGGAAAAGCGCAGGGAGATGGCAGATGTGTGTCTGACCACTGCATCCTGGTACCTTCCGGCTGGTGATTTAGGTGCTTACTCTACCCCCAAGTACAAAAGCCCCAAATACCAAGGGAAGCAAGGGCCACTTTATCAGATAGAGCCAGTCAAAATGAGGGCTAACGTGTGAAATTAAGGTAAATGAGGCTTTAAGGAAAGGAGAAACTTCTGTCCTGCAGGACCTTTTCGATAATGAAGTGGTCTCTAAGGAAACCGGAAGCTCTGCACTGCCGGAAACCCTAAAATGGGCAGCTGTCCCGCCTCCCGAAAGCTAAGCCTCCTCTCAGTCTTTGTCGCTTCTCTTTCCTCATTTTAGGCTTTCCCCAAGAGTGTTCCTTGATCCAACCTGCTCTTTAGTCAAGGCTCTGATCCTTTCCTGGTGTGCTGTGGCCCGTGTTTGTAGTACCCAGCAATAGAGCAGCGTCTTAAAAAGGCACCAGCCACCTTCCTCCTTGGTCCACCCCCAGCGCCTCCCGGGCGCCCCATTCGGGTCTGCGGCGGGCCCTCCGCAGCCTGGCCTGACTCCTCCGCCTGGTGTCTGTCAGCCTCCTCATTAGGCATGCTCTGGAGCTGGCTGGTGTCAGGCCGGCCAGTGCATCAGAATGCAGGGCATGCCTCAGGCTCCTGGGAAGCTGCACATTCCGCATGAAATATGAAGGCAACAGCCAGCCCAGGGGAGACCCAGGGCGGATTCGGTGGAACGGCAGCAAAGGTGGCTAGTGGGGGAAGGGAGCGTGGCAGGGTCACAGAGAAGACGTGGGCTCCCGGCACATATTTTAAAGGCGCCTCTTGGAGGCGGTGGGGGGAGAGGTGCAGGGAGGGGCTCCTGGCCGTGCATCCTCCACCGTTCCTGACACACACTCCCCGGGCACATTCCTTCTGCATATGCTCACGGTGCCTCGTGATTATGGTGATGTGCCCTTTTGAGATAGGCAGCCGCTCCCTCTCCTGCTGTGCTCAGCACTGATTCTGAGTTTCTCTTTTGGGATAACCTGAAATCATGAGAGCAGTCCATGTGGATTTCGGAGTACCTGACAGTAGGAAGCATAATAAAAAGTGATGATTTGTCCAGCAAGCCCTGGGGATGCTTGTCGCACACCACCCTGGGCCTACAGAGGTTAAGTGCGTTTAACAAGCGGTGGCCCCCGGTGGCACCCGGGCCTGACATTAAAGGCTGTCCTTACCTTACTCTGGAATCTCCAGGCTCTGTGCTGGGGTGGAGGCACCCATTCTGAGAGACAGAGAAAAGTGTTCATTGTTCGCATGCACCAAGAGCCGTCTGCGCGCCTGAGACACATTGTAGTCAGGTTCCGCCCTGCACCCTTTAACACTTAGAGACTGCGGTGTCGCCATTTCCACGCACGACCCCACCTGCTCTCACTACTGTATTAGTGAATGGAGATGCTGTAGTATTTGTTTCTATACAAACAAAGGATTTGCACATAGTAGGTACTCAGTAAATATGGAAATAATTATATTTGATGAGTCTCACACATCCAAGTTATCAAGAAGCACAAGTTTATTCCTCCCTTCAAATATGGAAATTTGGGGAAGCCATATCTTTCTCTCCTAACCTAAAACCACAGTGCCCACTACAGCATACTCAGACTGGGGATAATTCCATTTCATGGCATGGATTAGAGAGCGTCCTACCTTCTTTTGATCAGAGAACAAATCATTTAAATACATATACATGTATACACACACATACACATATATATTTTTTCTTCCCTTCCCCCTTGGGTTCAGGCTCCATGGGCTCCTCATGTCCTTGGGAATAACTGGCAGTTCAGCTGGAGCTGCACAGGACTTATCTCTGGGAACTCCCTGTAGCCGGATAAGCAGGGCTGATGCTAAGAGCTGTAGGGGTATCCTTATTGTTCCTGCCTGTGATAGAAATAGCCTGGTTCTTTGTGTGTCGTTTGAAAGTGAGAGTTTTCTGCAAGAACCCCCAAGGCTGTAATGTCTCCTGGGTGTCCCAGCCAATTCTGATAATTCTGATTGTCAGTGCTGCCAGGAGGCGCCATTCACCAGGGCAGTGGACACTGAGGCTGCCTTGCTGGTAGGAATGTGGTGAGACGATAAGGTTTATACATGGGAACCTTCAGTGTATAGAATTATATTTGATAACTTCTCATCAATTTTGAAAAGAAATGGGCTTCTTTGTGAACAGAGGGGACCCTGCTTCTGTTTGGTTCCTGATGCAGAGTAGCAGGGGACAGGAGGCTTCAGATAATGCATTGTCCCCTTATAAGACTGTAAGTTCCCTGGGAGCAAGACATCACTGTGCTGATCACTGCTTTGCCCCCACGGGCTTGAGCAGTGCCTCTCATGCGGTAGGCACTCAAGGAATATTTGGTTGACTACGGCACAGAAAGCATAGACCCTTATTATCCTCCAGCCACTGATAAGTTCAGAATTGGATCCATTATAATCTTCTCTGACTTTGATATACAGATGTTGAGAGATACAACTTCTCTCTCTGCTGAGGTTGCTAAGCTAAAAGTAGGGTGCTAATTATGAAGAAAGGCTCGCAGACAAAATAGAGGGAGAGATGGAGAGAGAAAAAGAGTGAGTGAGAGAGGGGGAGAAGGAGAGCGAGTGCAAACCAGCTAACCCTAACAACATAACATGACTGCATATTCAGCCCCAGCCGAAGCTTTAATCCAGAATGTCTTGGTTATGAGAATTAACTCCTTATGTATTTATTTTCTTGGGACAATATAGACAAGGGCTCCCCTCACTTAAAAACAAAAGCAGTCTGCCCACGGATAGTTTCGCATTCCCCCTGTCTACTTTCAAAGCTATTCGTTTACCCTGCGCTAACAGCTAATCTTCTCTTTACAGTTAACGCATGCGGATCTTTTGGATGTCTGCTTTCATATACTTGTCATCTTGCCCAGCCCTTTGGGTCACTTCAGGCGGAGCTGTTATTAAGCCACACACTTAGAACAGGTGTATTTTTCATACACCTAAAGTCTAGAGAGAGGGAATTCTTCAGATTCCTAGTAGTTCCCGCTTGCGGCAGATCTTGCCACTCTAGATAACACAGCACCCACTTGTTGGCACACGTTAACTCTGATGTGAGCCTTGGTGAGGGTGCCCTGCTCTGTACTCAGCTCTGCTGGGGAAACACTCAGGTGTTCAGAGCTTGTTTTGCAGGAATAGGATTTATCTCTGGCCGGAGAAGAGATAGCTGATTTTCAGAGAACAAAGGAAAGAGAAGAGGATAGACATGGCTTGGACATATACTGTGTGGCAGACACTGTCATGGCACTGGGCGTGATGTTTGGTGGTTCCGCAGTTGCTGTCTGTGGGCTGAGCTGTTTGCGTGGCAGAGCAGGTCTGTGTGATCTGAGCATCCGGGCTTTTCCTCCCTCCACTACATTGTCTCCCCGGGTTGTATTTTGATATGCTTTGTGCAGTCCACACCACTCAGCCCCATGCTGGCCACACTGTAAGTCCAGTGATGACAGCACTCTGTTTATCACCATTTCATATGGACCTAATGAGGAGGGAATGTTATAGACCATCCCCTCCACGGTGTGAGAGAATTGCTTGACATGGAGATGCACAGCAAGGAGAGAGATCTGGAGTCCAATTTCCTTCCTCTGCCTGCCCAGCCTCTAAGGCTGAGAGCGAAGCCCGGGAAAGCACTCTGTTCTTGTGCACGCAGGGATGCCTCTGGCTGGGTGACAGCCGCTGACCCACCTCGTTCTTGTTCTGCAGGTGTTGGAAAGAGGATGCAGCCATCTCCAGCCCCCAACAGGGAAGGGTGGAAAATGCTGCACTGTGCATGGGTGAGTATGCACATGTGTGTATGTGTGGTCCTGGGAGCGAGGGCCGGGCAGGGACCAGTCTGCAAAACAACATTAAGAAACCGAAACATTTTCCACTGAGAAACAGAATTACTGCCCGTGGAATTCTTACTCAGCCCGAGAAACGAGGAACAGCCCCTCCTTTTCATTAGCTAAACAAAGAGGGTTATTTTTCAAATGAAAACTTCCAAAGTGGAAAACAATCTAATTCCCAGGGCTTTGTGAGAAGCGAGGTTCTCAGTGCTCCTGTAAACATGTCTGTGTGCACTGCAGCTGTAAAGGCCATGTGGGTGCCCTGATCAAGTGCTAGGGCAGGCTGGGCCAGTCAGGGACATGGGGACTTAGCTTCAGGCCTCTCAAAATAATCCCAGGTAGAGAGGCCAACAGAGGGAATGAAACACGGCCTGGGAAGATTTGAACTGTTCTGTGCGGGGTACGGGGAGGGGGGGAGTGACAATAAAAATATTTTCTGTAAGTCCATTACATGATCTCTTTCTTCCTCCAAGTCAATGAACTCCTTCTGGTTGGAAAATAATCTGCAAACTTGAACCATGCTTGGTTCAGTGGGGCGTGTTCTGCCTTATTGAACTCCTGGATTTCAGAGTTCTTTCAAACAAAAACTGGCTTCCACTTACAAACCCGTGGGGTAATGTCACAGCTTTCTCTCAAGGCGTTCTCTCTGTGAAAGCGCCCAGGTACTTGCCTCTGTTTAAGAGCAGGTAAGAACATGAAGGCAGACTGCCAGGGTTCAAACTGCAGCGCTGTGCCTTAGAGGAAGGGTGTGCTTACTGTCTCTGGGACTCAGCTTGCCCACCGCAAGGGGGAATAACAGTGGTACCTACATGATGGAGTTATCCTGGAGATTAAATGAGAAAATGCTTACAAAGAACTTCACACAGTTTCTGGAGGGAGGAAAAGCTCAAAGTGTGGCCATTGTTATGAAGTCAAAGGGACATGGCATATGGTCATGGGCCTGAGCTTTTTAAATTAATAAATAGCGTTCTTTGAGGTTTCTACTTTTCCTGTCTCACTTGTGGAGAACATGTTGTTTAAAAAAATAAAGACAGGCACAAAATAGCCTCTCTTCAAATCGGAGCTTCCTTCTCTAATCAGTCTGCGAATGTTTCGGGGAGTGTTCTATTTAACTTGGCTGGCCCCTGGTTTTGCCGTGAGTAATATATTGGGCTGAATTTCAAACTCCACACAGCCAAGATCACTGGATACTTGAGCTTCCTCAAGCTGAGTTGATACAGCTGCTGTGCCCCTGGTCACTGGTGAGTTGTCCCCATGGATTCCAACGGGTATTAACACAAACAGGTCAAGGTGCATGGGCCAGCCAAAATGGTCAAGAACATGGCTTCCCAGAGAGCAGGTGCCCACGTGAACAAGACTTAAGAGACCTGGGGATCCTGAGAGGATAGTCAGAGGAAGCTGAGACAGAGGGTAGCCAGAGATTGCCAGAGGGGAGAGAGGTCAGTGGAACTTGGGGAAGGGCAGTGCTTCCCCCATGAAGGGTGTCCAGGAGGTAGGAAGGAACCGTCCTGATTTTGACACTGCCACAATGATAAACAAAGGATGCCAAACTCCCCAAATTAGGATTTCTGAGTCCAATTAGATCAGACAACGGATACTTGCTTTGAAAAGAATCAAGCATGGCTTTCTTTAAAACACAGGCTTCATTTCAAATGGAACTGAATAAACCAAATTCAATTTAGACATGTTTTTCCTCAGGAACTGGGCTCTGGCATGAAACAAGGCCTGCCCGAGGCCACTTGAGACCACAGTCTGCGGGACGGCCATGTGATGGACACACAGAGCAGAGTGTTAATTTCAAGGCCAGTCGAACCCCAATGACAGCAGGGCTGGTAAACAGATGGAAGATGCTAATGACTATTTAGTGCTTTCTCTCCAGGCTAGGAAATGTCTCTTTGGCTTCTGAGGTAGCAACACCCTTACCTTAAAAGGTTTGGATTGATGATCTGGGCCTAATAAAAGCCCCTTCTCAAGTCTGCTGGGAAACCCAAGCATTTCAAAAGTGAAAGATAATGAAGATGTTCTAGAAGCAATATCATTATGAGTATACATTATAAATGATAATTACAATTAATCATATTAGCCTTCATAATCTCCAAACATTAGAAGTTAACACTGGCAGATTCATCTTCCCTGGGTTCCTTTGAAGAAAACTTTGCCTGAAACTACACATTTTCCCCTTTCCTTTGATCGGTGGTGGTTTCTGCTTTCACACTGATTTATCAGCAATGGAGAGTGAGGTGTGGGTACATTAGGAAGTTAAGGAGTTGTGGTGCCCATAAGCTCTAGAACTTCCACATACACACGGCCCCTCACGGAGGCACCTGGGCAGCTCATCTGGTTATTTTAAGGCTATCACAATCCATATTTGCCCCCTACGTGTAAGCCATGGTCAGGCATTCCCTGATCTCTCTCTGCAATCTAAGTCAACCTCCTTCTTTTATTCTCTCTCATAATTCCCTCTTCTTTCTCCCCAAGCACTAAAAATTATTTTTAATTATTTCTTTATGTTTATCGGATGTTTAGCTCCTCATTAGATATTAACTCAGTAGGAGAGGGATCTTGTCTATTTTGTTCACCACCATATAATGACTATCCAGTGTGGTGCCTGGCATACAGAAGGAGCCGATGAATACAGAGTAGATGGCACAGCGTGGAAAAGTATGCCCCTTAGAAAGAATCTCTCTCTTCTTTCTCTTCCCATTGACACCAACATTTACTATTTCCCACATGCCAAGTCCAGTAGCTTTCCTGGTCCTCCTCCCTTGGCCATTCTGTAGGGTCTGATACGATTAACGCTTCCTTCCTGGAAAGTCTGTTTCCCTCTTGTAGCTGTGCTCTCTCCTTAAAGAGAGTAAGGTCAGTGGTTCTGGACTCAACCTGACGATATCCTCTTGCTGTTGCCTCCCTTGACAGCTCGTTCATTATTTTGGCTCCAGCCTTCAGTTTTATCCTGGGGCCTGTGAAGCCTACATTTTTAACCCTGAAATGCTCTTCCTCTTGCCTTCTTTTTCTTCTGGACATGTTTTTGCCATCCTCCCAATCACCAGTCTGGAAAACTTGGAGTCTTTCCTCAACACTGCCCTCATGTTTACCAAATATTTGACATATCAAAATATTGAAAATATGTATTCGGTGTCTTCTCATTGTCCATGACTCAAGTCTTCTGATAGCCCAGACCATCCCCCTTTCCCTCAATTCTCTGCTACACATTATCCAAGTGACTATTTCCAAGTTTCCTTTTTGCCAACAATGCCTTTTCCTTCTGCAATGTCAAAATTCTACTTTGCCTTCAATGTTTGTCTCAAATGCTTCCCACTTTAGATCTCTCATGAACTTCCTAATCAATTATAATTTCTTCTGCTTTCAGCTACCAACACACTATACACCTTTCAGTTGGCATTCTGTTACAACCTACAGACATTTAAAAAAAATATTAAGATAAGATTATGAAAAATATTGAGAGGAAAATTATAGCCCAATCTTTCTCTCTAACATAGATATAAAACTCCTAAGCAAAAAAATTAGCAAATCAAATCTAGAGATATACTAAGAGCATCAAATATAATGATAAAGAAAATTTTTCCTCCAAAAATGCAATGTTGGTTTAATACTTTAAAATCAATCAATAGGAGGTGGATGGGGGGGAGGGTCACAGTGTATAGTATACCTCTTGGGGCTGGGACACAATTATAAGACGGACTTTACCTAACAAATGAAATCAGTGTAACCTAATTCTGTGCACCCTCAATGAAGCCCAAACAATAAAATAAATAAATAAATAAAAATCATCCATTCAGAAAAAAGAAATCAATCCATATGATTTACCAGAGTAACAGAATAAAGAAGGAAAACCATGTGACTACCTCAAAAAATGAGATAAAACTTACTTCTTGTTCATGATAAAAAGTATAATTCTCATCAAACTAGGACTAGAAGGGAACTCCTTAGCCCACAAAGGGTATGTAGAATAATTCTGTATTTAATCATGAAAGAGGAAAGCCCTACTGCAGATCAGGAAGAAGACAAGGATGTTCACTCTCACCACTTCTATCTATCCTGTACTGGAGGTTTTGGCCGGAGCAATTTAGATAAGAAAAAGAAATGTCAAAACTTAAGGATTAGAAAAGACATAAACCTGATGTTATCTGTGGACATGATTGCATACATAGACTGCACTGGTGAATTATTAGAAAGAATAAGTAAATTTATCCAAACTAATGAATCTTAAGTCAACATGCAAAAGTCAATTATATTTTTGCATACTTGCAATAAATATTGGAAAATAACATTTTAAATTTGATACCATTTACAGTAGCATTTTAAAAATCAAGGACTTTTTTTTTTTGCAGTTTTTGGCCAGGGCTGGGTTTGAACCTACCACCTCCGACGTATGGGGCCAGTGCCCTACTCCTTTGAGCCACAGGCGCTGCCCTCAAATCAAGGACTTGATAAGAATATATTTAGCAAAATATGTGTCTGGCCAATGGAGAAAATGCAAAGCATTACAGAGAATAGTTTTTAAAGATTTTGAAAAATGAAGAGATATATCATGTAAATTGCTATAAAAACATTAATGCTTTCCAAATTGCCCTGTTGCCTCAATGCAGTACTAGTACAAATCCCATCAGGTTTTCTCTTTCTTTTCCTTTCTTCTTTCTTTTCCTCTCTCTCCCCCTGCTTCCTTCCTTCCTTCCTTGTAGAAATTGGCAAGTTAATTTTAAAAGTTACATGGAAATGCAAAGTGTCAAAAACAGTCAAGACAGAATTGAAAAAGAAGAAAGCTAAAAGACGTGTACTACCAGATATCAAAACTTACTATGAGGCAACAGTAATCAAGGCAATGTGATCTTGGTGTAGAGACAAATAGATCCATGGAGCAGAGTTTAGAGTCCAGGAACAGAGCTGCATAGAAATCACCTGATTTCTAAGGGCACCACGGCAGTGCA